GCGCCTAACTTAAGATCTGTTTGCTCCGAATCGCAGTCAAATCAACGCCAACTTACAGTTAGCCATTTCAAGTCAACCAAACTGGGTAAATGGTGAAATTTATGCGTGTGGAACGATGCGAAGCGATATTTATATTCGTATATGTTTGTTTAAGCCTTTCATTATTCCCAAGTATGATCTTACAATATTCCTAAATGACTGTATGAAAGGTTTCCTTTTATATACCCAGAGAGCCCATTGAAAATGTGGATTTTAATATGTATGAGAAAAAAGAGGCGTGACACGCCCCAATCGAGAACTACCTAGCTCTACCTCCTTCCTCAACTCAACTAACCTGTCTTAATATATTTATTTATCATCTCATACCATCTCTCATATATGTATATCTTCAATTTGTATCCTCTACAGAAACGTGCAAAAGGCTCTGAGCTGCTGGATCAGGTCTTTCACTATCTCGAGCTATCCGAAAGGGATTACTTTGGCCTATTGTTTCCACAGAAGCCCGGCGACGTTGTGGTAAGTGGAACATTCGATTGGTCAATCAGCCAGCCAGTCAATCAATCAATCGCCCTTTTGCAGAGATGGGTCGACGCACAGAAGCAGTTCAAGAAGCAATGCAGCAGCCTCTCGCTCGACAACGATGCCGTTCCATTATTAGAGTTTAGAGTTAAGGTGAGTTAGTCTATGCGGGGCAAAGGCCTTCACTGATTCTGTGTTCTGCTTGTCGACAGTTCTTTGTAAGCGATCCCAGTCGGCTGCAGGAGGAGTTCACGCGCTATCAGTTCTATCTGCAGATCAAGCGAAACATTCTGCTGGGCCAATTGCCGTGCTCCAGCAACACCCAGTGCCTGCTTGCCAGCTACACGGTGCAGTGTGAGTAACTCCCATCCGTAGTCTGTCTATGGCCGCGACTAATCTGCGATTGGGGTTGGGTTTGGGTCCACAGCTGAGCTGGGCGACTTCAATGCCGTGGAGCATCAGACGGGCTACCTGAGCGGACTGCAGCTGCTGGCGGAGCAAACGCCGGAGGCGGAGCGGAAGATCTGTGAGCTGCATAAGCTGCATCGCGGCCAGCTGCCGGCGGATGCCGAGTACAATTATCTGGAGCACAGCAAGCGCCTGGAGCTCTATGGCATCGACTTGCACAAGGCCACCGACTCCAATGGCAAGGAGCTGCAGCTGGGCGTGTCGGCCATCGGGCTGCTCGTCTTCCAGCACGGGCTGCGCATCAACACCTTCTCGTGGAGCAAGATGGTGAAGGTGTCGTTCAAGCGCAAGGACTTCTTCATACAGCTGCGCCGCGAGCCCAGCGAGAGCTACGACACGCTGCTCGGCTTCGGCATGAGCAGTCACAAGCACGCGAAGGCCCTGTGGAAGTCCTGCGTGGAGCACCACAGCTTCTTCCGGCTGAAGCGGCCGCATCGACTGTCGCGCTTCCTCAACATCAGCCTGGGCAGCAAATTCTACTACTCGGGCCGCACCGAGCTCCAGGCCGTGCAGGAGTCCAAGCAGCGCGGCCGCATCCACAAGGTCTTTGTCCGCTCGCCCAGCAAGCGTCTCCTGGCTGGCAATGCGCTGGCTGCCACCTGCGGCGGCAGCTCGGCCGACGGCACGCCGCAGCTGCTGCACAACGGCACGGGCAGCGGGTCCGACAGCGCCGCCTCGCACAACGGCAAACCGTCCGCATCCACCATACTGACCATCACGAAAACGAGCCGTCCACATGACACGTCCAAGGTCACGTCCAAGCAGGCCGACGCGATGCCGCGCAAGGCCTGGGAGCAGCACAGCGACGAGTACGACATACAGCTGTGAGTTTTGCTGAGAGTGTTGAGCGTAGTCGGAACCAATCAGAGGGATTGATTGCTAATCTCTATCTATGTTTGTTGGTTTGCTTTGCAGCGATGTTGGCTTCATAGAGCAGTGCACGAGACGCTTCGAGTCCGGCACGCCCTCGCCCATGCCGCCCGCCTACAGCTCGGGGCAGCACAGTCCCGTACTTCTGCCCACGACCATAGCGGATGCAGTGGGTCAGCCGGAGAGTGGCAGCGATCTGATCACCATGCGATTGCTGGCCGACGAGCAGGGCCGCTACGGCTTCAATGTGAAGGGCGGCGTGGACCTCAGTCTGCCCGTGCAGGTGTCCAAGGTGGTGCCGCACACGCCCGCCGATCGCTGCACGCCGCGCGTCTGCGAGGGCGACGAGGTGATCATGATCAACGGTCGGGAGGTGCACGGGCTGCGCCACGAGCAGGTGGTGGCCATGATACGGGAGTGCAGGCATCAGTCGAGCGGCGAGCTGCTGCTGACGGTGCGACCGAAGCGCTCGGCTCCACTGCTGCTCGAGGAGGAGCCGCTCTACCAGTATGTGCCCGAGTCAGACGAGATCGGCTCGCACTCCAACCTGCTGGATGGCGACGCGCTCTTCACCCAGAGCCTGCTGCTGCTCAGCGATGGCCTTGCGTCGGGCGCTCTGCTTGCTCAATACGAACTGATGTACCGCAAGAATCCCGACCTGGCCATCACGGAGGCGCGGAAGCCGGCGAATGCGGCCAAGAATCGCTATCGGGATATATCGCCCTGTAAGTTCGAAAGCAATCCCATTGGGAATCCTCGACTCACCCAAGTCTCTCTCGCCTAGATGACTGCACGCGCGTCTCGCTGGTCAACTCGCTGACTGGCGACTACATCAACGCCAACTATGTGAATATGGAAATCCCGGGGGGTGGGGTGAATCGCTACATAGCGACGCAAGGGCCGCTGGCCAGCACCACAACGGACTTCTGGCGCATGGTGCAGCAGGAGAGCAGCCACCTCCTGGTCATGCTTACCACCGTAATGGAGGCGGGTCGCCAGAAATGCCATCAATATTGGCCCGTTACGGGCGAGGAGCTGCAGCTGGGCGACGGCTTTTCGGTGCGCTGTCTGAGCGAGAAGCCGGACGAGACGGGCAGCTTTGTCTTCCGTGAGTTTGTGCTGCGGGATAAGCACGAGCAGCGGCACATTCACCACATGCAGTATCTCGCCTGGCCGGATCACTGCGTGCCCTCCGACCCCAACCTGTTTCTCGAGTTCACGGAGCGCGTGCGCGCTGCACGCAACCGCACGCTGCTCCAGGAGATTGAGGAGAGCCTGAAGCAGGTGCGTCTGCTCGACGCGGACGCTGACGAGAATGGGGGACTGATGAGCGAACGCAAGTGCGCAGCGAGCAACGGAGCAACGCCCGAGGACGAGACACCCGTATCCACCAGCGTGCACCAGTGAGTTGCTTGGATCTAGTTGCTAGACCTAGACTAGCCAGAGCAAAAGTTAATTCGGTTTCTCCCCTCGCAGATGCATTAGCGCCGCTAATCCGCCCGTGATCGTGCACTGCTCGGCGGGCATTGGACGCACTGGTGTGCTCATACTAATGGACACGGCCCTGGCGCTGATGGAGGCGCGCGAGCCCGTCTATCCGCTGGACATAGTGCGCACCATGCGCGATCAGCGCGCCTGCATGGTACAGAATGTGGTATGTCTATCGAGTCTGTCCCATCATATGCAGCTAATCGACAGCTCTCTTTCCTCCACCTCCCCTCCAGAGTCAATATCGCTTTGTTTGTGAATGCATTTGTGCCGCCTACATGAAGATCTCGCGCAGCAGCGCGGCCATCAACGACGAAGACGACTAATGAAACTGCTCCACAACTTATACTAGCGGACAATCTGAATACAAATTCTTCCTCCCTATATATATCCCGTCTTGCATGGCGCTAAGAACTCTTCTCAATCTATATATATGTATATGTATACTTATCAATCAATCTTATTGTTAGTAAACCCGTAGGCATGCATACATACACCCGTATAAGTATCTATGCTATATCATTATTACGTTAATTCTTATCATTATTATTGTCTATATATTTATAAAGTGCGTGTATGTATGTATAATCAGCTCTGTATATCGTACTTCTAATATGCCCATCTATATAAACATGGGCAATAATCCACGCAAGTGCTACTGAAACAACTCGTATGAAAAACAATTCTAAATTTTTACAAAACACACAAAGCGAGAACAAAACTACCTAATTCACGTATACAAAAGAGAAGGGAATTAAATGAATTGCATATTTATTTATACAGAGAATTACACAGAAGAATATAAACGATCTATATATATATATATATGAAAGCAACAGCAACAAAAAACAAATGAGAAGTAAAAACTGTTAGTATTTTAGCACCAAATTTAATTCATATACATATATGTATTTATGCTGAGAATCAGACCTAATTAAATATTATAAATAAACAGCTGGAATAGTTGTAAATAATTATGTTAAGACATTCTCTTGCTAGCCTAAAATGGAAAGCCCACCTCATCCAGTTAAGACGATGTTTTGTAATGGACTCCGAAGTGGATATAAGAGACCGATCTGTGCTGAGGCCTGCTTTGATAACCTCCGTCAAATGAAAGCCTCGAAAATGTTTGCTATCAAAAGAAAATATTCGCAGCAAACACAAAACCTTAAAATCTATCGTAAAATAAAAAAAAAAACATAAAAATATAAAAAAATCCAATGGAAACCACCTGCAACAAAAATGGATCCACGGCCGAGGAAGTAGAGGTGGAGGAGACGGAAGACTTTCACGATCTGGAGGAATTCAACGAGGACAACGTGGCCAGTGGCAGCGGGCAGAAGAGGGACGAGCGCTTCGTGGTCAAGAAGTGGGTTGCGCACGCGCATTGGTGCTGGGACGTGGCTGTGGACAACTGCGCCATTTGCCGGAATCACATCATGAACCTGTGCATCGAGTGCCAGGCGGATCCGAATGCGAACAAGGACGAGTGCACCGTGGCCTGGGGCGAGTGCAACCATGCGTTCCACTATCACTGCATCGCCCGCTGGCTGAAGACGCGCCACGTCTGTCCGCTGGACAACAAGGAGTGGGTCTACCAAAAATACGGCCACTAGTCGGATTAGTTAGCATTATTTGTATTTAAGTTCATTCTTTCGCGATAATATTAAAATTCTATGTAACTATGTCTATGCCTGCGCCTCCTGCTCCAAGCCGAGCAGCTGCTGTGCTGTGGGTCGGTTGCCCGTTAGAAGCTCCAGCTGCTGGAAGAGTGCATCGCGCTGCTCGGCCAGATTGGCATACTTTTGCTGCAGCTCCTTCTCGCGTTCCATTTGCCGGCGCACGTCCTCCTGCAGCGCCTCCAGGCGTCGCGGCACAGCGATCGCCTCCTGCTCGCCGAGGAAGCGAAACGTGGAGAGCGAGAGCGAGTTCTGCTCGATCTGTGCGTAGGTGTCCTGCAGCTGCTTGATAAGCACCTGAGCGCGCGCCTGGTAGCCGCCGGTGAGTATCTTCAGCTTCTTCTCGATCTTGCCACAGCGCTTCGCCTCTTTGGCCATATGACGGCGATTCTGCTCGAGGCGCTTCTCCGCGGACTCCAGGCGATCCTTTTTGCTGGCCAGGTTGGCGCGCGTGTAGCGATGCTGGGATGGCAGGTAGAGCACCTGTCCCAAGCACTCCTGCCACACCTGCCCATAGACATCAAGTGGCAGCTCGCCATGGGCCATGCGCTCCTTCACCACCTCCATTTCGTCGGCCAGCATCTGCTTGGCCTCGGCCAGCTCCTCCTGTGATATTTCCTCGTACGGGTTGGCCTTAAAGTAGCTCTGCAGCTGCTCGAGCTTGTGCTGCGACTGACCAGGCACTGGATCACGCACAGAATCGTAAACTGAGGGAGAGAAGGGTAAGGTAAGTAAACTCGATATGTTTTGAGAGGTGTTCGTGGTTACTCACGCTGCATGGTGATCATCTCGTGCTTGATCAACTCCTCGGCCTGCTGCTGCTCGGTGAGGTTTTGCTTCTCGGACTGCGGACGCAGAATCTTCGTGTTCACCTCCGTCGGCCGTGGTAGGTTACGCTGTATGACCTGGGAGCGCTTGGCCAACTCTCGCTTGCGCTGCGCCTCCTGCTCGGCCAGCATGCGCGCATCCACATCTGCCTGGTCCTCAACTGCCGGCTCCGTGCTGGTCTCCATGGCCTCGCTGTCGTCCTGCTCCGGCACCACGATTTCGTAGTCATTTCGCGGCGCGGGCAGAGCAGCCAGTCCCTCACGCAGCGTGGACTTCAGCTGCTTCTGGTAGTTCTTGTAGACAGCAGGAGTCTCAGTCACGGCCATGCTCTCCTCTGCATTGATGCTCAGCTTGTCGCGCACAAAGGCGGGCGTTACGCTGCTGCCGCCAGCCGCGCCGTTCTTCAGAATGGGCACCATGGCACCCGAGGCGGGCGTTAGGAAGCCCGCAGGCGTTGCTGCTCCGCCCTCGCGCTGAGTGCGGAAGGGCGTGGCAATGACCGTGTTTGGAGTGGCAACAGCCGCCGCCTTGGGCAGCGCGCCCGAGAAGTCGGATTCGTGCAGCGGCGTATTGAGACCTCCCTTTAGAGGCGTCTCTGTGTGCGTGAGCGCCATCATGTTCTGCGCCTCCTGCATTATGCGGTCCGTGTATGGCGCAGGGGTGCGAGGCGTGGCGGCCACCTGCGGCGTTATGGAATAGTCCGCCAGCAGAGCGTCTGTCGTCTCAATGCCACTCTCGCCGGCTATCTCCTTGGCCATCTCGCTGGCCCGACCCAACTTGACCACCTGCTGCAGCTCCATATCGGATATTTGAGGCGTCGGCAGTACGAGCTTCGAGCGCTTGCGCTCCGGCTCTTGGTTCTGCATCATGGCCGATGGGACCTCGTTTTCTTTGCGCTGCTTTAGCTTCTGCTTGTCGCGCTTCCGCTCCCGCTCCTCCTTCTCGGAGCGCAGCTCACCATCCAGGTCCTGCTGGCGCATTTTGTTAAAGTCCGGCTCCTGCTTCTGCAGATGCTCTTCAGACGTGTCGTAGAAGCCAATGGCAGGTCGCTTCTCGAAGGGTATTTCCGCATTGTAGTCGATGCCTTTGATGCGCTTCCTGTTGCCGCTGCCAATTCCCGCAGCGCGCAACTCGCGACGCTTTTGGAGCGTAGCCAAACGACGCGCCTCCTCCAGCTGTTTCTCGCGCGCTTTGCGTTTGGCCTTCTTGCCCTGCGTGTTTGCCAGACGGGCGCGTGCCTCGGACAACATTTCTAGCTCATCTTCGTCCATGTCTTTGGGATCGGGTCGTGCGGGCTTGGTCTCTGGGTTGGGATCAATCTCACCCGGCTTCAGTTTGCGAGGATCGTCCATGGTGTCCTCGCCATCCTCCTTGCGCTGCGCCTGGTCGCTGCAACAGTTATTTAGCTATTTAGATTATGGATGCAACATCTAGTAATGCACACTTACAGCAGATACTCGTAGCGCTCCAGGCATTGTGCAGCAGTGCGTCCAATAATAGGCGCAATTGTGCGCCATTGAGTGGGCATCAGTTTGGCCAAGTGAAGCAACTTCTCATCCTCTTCGCGCGACCACTCGGTCTTCTTGATGCTCGGATCAAGCCACTCGTACCAGCGTGCTTTGCACTGTTTGGCTGACTTGCGATGCAGCAACGAGGCAATGCGACTCCATTGATTTTTGCCATATTTCATGACAGCCGCTTTCAAGATCTCATCCTACGAAGAAAACTCTTGACTCACATTGATTCATTTCATTTCTAAGCGCATGCCTTACCTCTGTGTTGCGCCAGACGCCGCCTTTTATCATAATACGCGGCATTTTGTTGTTTTAATTATTTTATAATGGCTACTAAATTAAAATGGAAATTAATCTGCAAACTTTGTCGGCGGCCGCTAGCGATGTGAGATGTAGCTCAAACGTTTGAGATTACTTGCCGTGCTGTGTACTGCCAACTATCGATATTTTTGGATCGTTAGCAAAACTACTAAAACACAGATGAGGTTTGCACCTACAGTAACCACTTGTGACGTCACAGCAGACAACTTGTATGTGTTGCTGTTGTCACTGGTCTTGATACAATTTCATTATTGTACAAGATGCGGATTCGAATGCTGATTAGCATTAATTCGTTTTAGAAAATCCAATATAGCTCAGTTTTCCAATTTCGAATTTGAATTAAAACGATATCTATCGCAAAGATATGATTATCGTAGTAATCGCCAAGTGTCGATAGACAGTATTTTTCTGTGAGTATCGATGCATTTGTTTTTGTTGTTGTTGCAGTTGTAGTTATCAGATGTTTTGATATGATATCAGATCAGTTTCTGCCACAGATTTTGGTCGACTGAAATGTAATGCGAAGTTTGCAAAAATGCAGCTATAAACAATTACATATGAACATTGCAATATGAACGCGGATGCGGATGTGGCTTTCACGAGCTTTTACAGCACCGTGGGAAGCCAGGTGAGCCACGCATTTGGTTGTATGTGTGTGTTCGTCGATCTAACTTAGGTTTCTTTATATTGTTGTAGTTGCAGCATGCCGACCTGTCGCTGTCCACGCCTATACACTCGCTGGAGCCTGATAACTTCAGTGGATTCTTTGACGACGAGCCCGCACTGCTAGGCATTCCATTACCCATAGCAACTGGAGCAGCTGCAGCGAGCACCCATAAGAGCACCTCCGCTGGCATCGCCGATTCGCCCTGCATTCCATTCGTACAAATCCATACGACCGACTTGCAGCAGCAGCCACAGCCGAGTCGCAGCTATCGCAATGGCTTTCGCCGCAAGACAGCGGAGATTAAGTCTGAGGCCGAGCTGATCAAATCGGAGCTGGCCGAGGCGGCGGCCAAGGAGCGCACCAACGCCACGCCCACACCGCCAACGACCAAGGCAATAGCCAGCGATGGCTGCCAGTCGGATTTGCCGTTGAACAAATGTCCCAGTTGTCCGTTCCTGAGCCTCTGTCCGCTAAAGACGCAAACGCACATCAGCAGCTGCTTCGGCATAGATGCACAGCATCGTCTGCTCTGCCCAGGTCAAGCTCTTCAGCATGCATATCTCATATACACATATATAACAGTTTGCTCTTGCAGGCTGTGCGAATGTCTTCTATAGCATTGATGTGCTCAACCTGCATCTTAGTGCTGACCATCAGCTGGAGCCGGAGGAGATTGCCGCCCTTGCCAAGGCGAATGACTCGTCAGCCAAAAAACTCCCACAGCCAATGCCCAAGAGTCGCATCTACATCAAGAATGTGAATTGCCTGCGTGAGCCACAGCTGCCCGACTTTCTGCCCACAGATGACAATATACTGGATCTACTAGACGATGTGGAGGAAGCTAGCAACTGCTCCAATCCACAACATCAGCAGCAGCAGCCGCCGCATCAGAGTCAGGTGCTGCAGGAGCCGGCCAGTTCAGCTGTACAAAAGATATCTATCAAGAGCGTCGATGTTCTCAGAGAGCCAGCGCTGTTGCCCTTTGATTTTCCCATGCCCAGCAATGGAGTCCAGCAGCAGCAGCAGCAGCAGCAGCAAGAACTGGAGCAGCTTCCTTCTCTGATGATCAACAGCAATCTGCTGGAGAAGCCGCGCCAGCCGAAGATCTACATAAGGAATGTGGACATATTGAAGGAGCCCATGCTGCTGCCAGGCATGGGCTTCGGCAATGCGACCGCCTCGACGGTCGCCAGTCCTGCGGAGGTCTTCAACGCGGAGACATTGCTGACACCAACGGGCGGACCGCTGCCTGGCTTTGAGCCGCTGACCAGCATGTGCCCTGATGCCTTCAGCTTTGACTCTGTACTGAGCAGTGGGGGCGGTGCGGGCCACAGTGCCAGCAGCGGCAGCAGCCACAATTTTAGCGCTCTGGATCTGGACTTCAGCGTGGACTTTGAGCAGAGCGTGCAATTGGCCACGGAGCCCGATCACTCACTGACCAGCGAGCAGCAGCAGCAGCAACAGCTAACGGAACTGGCGCCTCAGCAAGAGTTTAACCATGAGCTGGATAACTATTTGCCCCCAGCAGTGCCAGCAGCAACAGCAACAGCAACAGCCACAGCCACAGTGACAGCAACAGCAACAGGGACAGCGACACCAACTGCACCGGCAACAGTTGCAGCAACAACCACGGCAGCAACAGCAACAGCAACCACGTCGAAGCAAAAGATCTTTATCAAGAACGTGGACATACTGAAGGCGCCTCAGCGTGGCACACTTCATCTGCGCACCGTGGACGAGCTGAATCTGATGAATCGCAACGAGGTGGAGCATTTGATTGTGCCGAACCGTGAGCCGCTGCCCCTGGAGCTGCCTCTGAATGCACCGGCTGTGGCCTTGGAGCCCTCACTGGTCGACTTGCCGCCGCCGCCTCCTGCACCGCTGAGCTATGACGATGGCTACGACTTGGCCGAGGACCTGGAGTGCTGGCCCTGGATGGATGACGAAGTGGAAGAAGCGGAGCCGCAACCCGCGCAGCTGCAACTGGAGCCGCCGCACAACGACCTTCTGGTCAAGGACTTTCCGCAGCTCTATGCACAGCCAGCCGCCACTTCGGGGCCTGTGCCGCCGCCCCTGGTGCCAGTCACCGGCTCGATTGACGGCGCCGCAAGTGCTGCAGACAGTCTGAGTGGCCTGCCCGTGCCGCCGCTAGTGCCTCTGCCCAGCGAGAAGCCCGCTCGCATCTACGTGGCCAACAATCTGCTGCCCACTGCTGCCGCCGCTGCTGCCGCCGTGGAGCAGCCTCCTGTTGGCGGAACCTCCGTGCGCGGTCGGCCCTATGGTGCCAAACAGGGGGCGGGTCAGTCGAAGCGACGATTGGGCCAAGGCGCAGCGGCTCAGCAGCAGGAGCCCAGTGGCAAGAAGTGCACCGTCGAGGGCTGCATGTTCCGCTTCAAGTCGCCGGCGACGCTCGAGTACCATGGACGGTGCCACAATGGAGCGCTGGGCTCGGCACAGCCGATGATCTGCCCGGAGTGCAAGTCGACGCAGTTCAGCAACTGGAACTGCTTGCACACGCATCTGTGGCGGACGCACGCCATCGACATGGAGCTCTACTGCTGCCAGCTGTGCACCTTCAAGACGCCCATCTACTCGCGGCTGGTGAACACCCACGCGAAGATCCACTCCGAGGAGCGCAACTACAAGTGCGAGCAGTGCGGCAAGGGCTTCAAGAACACCAAGCAGCTGAAGAACCATCGGCGGCTTCATCGCACCCAGGGCCTGGGCATGGGCAAGCCAGCCAGCGAGGAGCAACAGCAGAAGCAGTCGCAGCTGCAGCCAATACTGCCCGTGCTGCATCGCTGCGAGGATTGCGGAGCTGCTTTCAAGCACCGGAAGACGCTGCGCGAGCATCTGTGCAAGCAGCGCAACGAGCAGCCGCAGTGCCCCACCTGTCAGGTAAGCGAGCTGCCATCGACTGCTCCCACTCGACTCACTCCTGCTTCACTCCCGCAGCGCGTGTTCAGCTCGAAGAGCAGCTTGAAGCTGCACATGCGCAGCCACCAGGCGGACAAGCGGTTCAAGTGCGACAAGTGCGACTACGAGGCGAACGACCACAATGCGTTTCGCCGTCACATGGGCACGCACCGGGAGCCGAAGCGCTATGCCTGTCCGCACTGCGACTTCCGTGCCATCCAGAGCACTGCCTATCGGGTAGGCGCATCATGCAGTGCACCATGGAGTGCCCTAATTCACAGCAGATTCTCTCGGTCTCTTCCAGATACACCTGCAAAAGGTACACCCCGAGCTGGAGCTGTCCGCTATTATACACAAGTGCAATGCGTGCAAGTTCTCGAGCATCAACCACGGCCTGCTGCTGGTCCACCAGGCCAAACATCATCCCGTCGAGCCATCCACTGCGTCGACCAATTCCAAGATCAAAGTGAAAAGCAGCCTCCAGCTCGCACATTCCGCAGATGCTCAAAGTCCATCGATCTAGATGTCCTATCAGCAACCATATATCAAAATGTGTACACCAAGTGCAGGCGCGTAGCTAGTAGAACTTTTATACCAAATTATATATACATACATACATATGTATCTGTATGCTATGTGCATGCATGCATGTGTGTGCACGTAGCATGCGATGAACCAATGTTAGTTATGTCCAGAAACTGTTGTTAAGTCTGTTCAAGTGAGACGGTCCTCGTTTGTGATCTGTGCGTGTTTTACATTTACAACCGTTTTTATATAGTTCTAAACAGATTCAATTCTATGTTTTATACATATACATATATACATATATTGTAAGTAATTATTTGGTGTTGTTATTGTAAATGCGTATGTATATCGTATATCGAACGGAGCAAAACAAATACAATTCAAATTAATTATTGTTTTCAAGTCATACCAGATGTTCGCACCTCCCATGGGAAATTCTTATACCCGCACATCTCCGAATCGAGCCCATAAATAATTTTGGTGATTAATTCCTCTATGATTCCGAGGTAGAAACATGGCAACAGCAGGCCACACACTTGCCTCTCTTCCAAGAATATTACTATTGTTTAATTTAATCAAGTCTAAATATGTATACTAGATGAAATATGTGGGGAACATAAAATAACTAAGTATTCAATTTTCTTATCTCTTAATTTTTTGACGAACAAACGAACATCACATCAAGATTCTGATGATCTCTTTAGACTTTAACTGTTTTCCTTCAAATAACTAGATATTCTTTGGAGAGAGCTGAACGCTGAATTCTTGGCGCTTTTACAGTACACAGAAAGAAAATCATTCAATTGTTATGCAAATCATTTAATTTTATTTCATTTTCCCTCAGTTGTCATTCAGCTGCAGTTCAGTTGCGCCTTCGGCACGCTCTGCGGCAGGCTTCACGGGTGCAATAGCGATTCCTGTTGCCGCCACAGCCCTTGTAGGCCATCTTCTTGCAGGATCGGGACCTACTGTCATACCACCACATTCTGGAATTCGCGTTCCTGGCGCACGAGCGAAGGTTACCCCTGCCCTCGTTCTTGCCTCCAACACAATTGGTCAACCATGGAGCTAAGGAAGACAAGTTCCAGTCAGTTATGGATCGATGATGATGGCTAAATCGATTCACTTACGCACTATTCCCTTGCAAGGGGGTCGCTGAGCCTCAAGGGTGGCCACGTAGACGCAGAGACAAGCGAGGAGCAGAATGAATTTCATGTTGATTCAAGTTGAATGTTGAACTGATTTAGCACTGGAAACATCAGCTCTTATATACCAAAAAGGAACAATGCACCCAGAGTTTCTGGAAAGCTGTTTTGCCAATTTAATGCAAAATGAAAACAAAAGCCCTTATAATAAAGCCGAACCTATTATGGCATATTTCAGACTATTTCGGGACATTTCTTATAGTAGAACTTTACTGGAGCAGAAAAAATATAGCCAAAGGAATGTTCTATCTATTTTTTAGCATGTATGTATATACATATGTGTATAATTTTGGTAGTATAAGATATGTATGTACAGAGGAAACAAATGGGATAAATTGACAGTAGTTTGTTAATAGCTTTAATTTGATTTGTAAAGGGAATTATGGAGACTACAGCTTGAATGAAATCTATAAATATCGACAACATGATCCACTTGCGCACATCTGTGTTTTTCTTCTCTTAACAAAACAGAGGAGATCTGCTTCATAGTCACAAATATGCCATATTACATATGTACATACATATGTATATGTTAATAAAGGCTTTTGTTCTCTCCACGAACTCTCTATGGAATATAAGAGCTGACGATTGGTTGGCGAATTGTTTGGAAGTAAAGAACGAGGGCAATACAAGGAGTCGCAGATGCGTCGAGGAGGCCAATGCCAACATAGGTCCCAGGGCTGTGGCAGCAACAAGAATCGCTATTGCGACCGGAACTCCTGCATCATTAATTTCACTTGAATGACATGCTATAGGAGACGATCGAGCGGCATACGGTGCGAGATTGAAGCTTTTGTAGAATTCCAGAAATAGCAACATTTTAAGTGAATCTAAGTTCACTGAGATTATGAAATAATCTTGTCGTACACATGTCTATGTATGTACATACATATGTATGTAAAAATGAGTTTTAGATGATTGTCTTGCTCGCTCTGTCCGAAACAGTAAGTCCAATATTAAAACGCTCTCTAATGCACTCAATGATCTTAGGCACGATTAGTAAACAACTTTTTATAATTGTATTCATTAATAATTATAAATGTACTTAAGCTGTGGTGTTTTGAGAGATTTTCGGGTCATTTATTCTTGTCCCTGAAGAAGTTAGGCCAGAAGTAATTCCAGGCACCATACTCTTTTATACTCGTGCGTGTATAAAAGACGTTGAGAATGATTAGAAGGTTCAGGGTATCTCCTAGTCGAGCAGTCTCGACCAGAGCACTCTTACCTGCTGGCTGGTATATAAGAGCTGGTGCTTCCAGTGCCAAATCAGTTCAGCATTCAATTTGAATCAACATGAAATTCATTCTGCTCCTCGCTTGTCTCTGCCTCTACGTGGCCACGCTTGAGGCTCAGTTTGGCTATTGTAGAGGCTACGTGCGTAAGTAAATCGATTAAGCCATTAGCCTCAGTCCATAACTAACTGGAACTTGTTTTCCTTAGCTGCTTGGGCTAGGAATTGTTTTGGAGGCAAGAACGAGGGCCATGCGAGATATTCCATTTGCCTCCTGAACGCCAATGCAAGAATGTGGTGGTATAACAGCACGTCCCAATCCTGCCAGAATATGGCATACAGGGGCTGCGGCGGCAACACCAATCGCTACTGCGACCAGAACTCTTGCCTCAGGTACTGCACCTGAATGACATACTAATGGACATGCGAATGGATTAAATTGAACTGCATTACAATTAAGATGGGTTTTATTTCAAATGCTTTGATCGGATTCAAGTTGTCTACTTGGGCAGCTAGGACATGCGGCATACGACAGAAGGTGCGAGATTACAGCATTTACCATGTGCAGAGACAGTTGGCCAGTAATTTGAGCTGCTAAGGCTAGAATTACATTGTTAGTGTTATGATAGTAATTAGGTGGTCGAGCACTTGAAATAATTGTTCATTTAAATGGGGCTGGCGTCAAGTGCACGCAATGGCCCTCGCACTGGGCACGTCTAAGTATATATAAGGCCATGGTGGACTAGGTTGGATTGAGTCCAGCTGTGAAATGAAAAAGTTGCTGCGGCTTATTCAACGCGTTTTGCCATCGAATGCGGCTGAGGGCAGAATCGGCTCCATCGAGCTGAACTTGTGGCTGGGTCAGTTGGTAGGCCTGCCCCTGGTGGGGCTGAAGCCGGAGACAGCTCTGCAGAAGCTGTGCATCATTGCAGTCGGATATCCCGTAGTGTTTGCCGTTTGGTATTATGTCTTTCTGGAGCTATACGACTTGTATCTCAATTGGCATGACCTGGACGCAATGACACAGAACCTCATCCTCTCCTTTACGCACGTGGCCTTTCTGATAAAGGTAAGAGTTCGATTGAGTGACTTCCTCATTTTCTGGAGTACTAATAGAGCTGCAGCCCAATTTTGTACTATATTTATATTAGACTGTCTGATTTTATCTCTCTCTGACTGAATTCCTGATGGAATACCTCAGGAGCTGTGCTGCATTTATCTTTCTCCCCTGTTTCTCTATCACTCTCCTCCATTCCCTGTCACTCTCAATGTGAGATTTCTGGTATATCTCATGTACTTTCAGTTCTGCAACATTTGCTATCGCTACGGAACCCTTAAGAGGATTTTACAGAAGTTGGGCGAGATCACCCGTCGCTGCGTGCTCTCCGAGCGGCAACTGGAGGCGTTTCAGAGAGCTGAGCTGAAGAACAAGTTGGCGAATCTGACTTACTTTCATCTCGTGCTGGTGCCGGGTATCCTGAGTGTGGTCTACATACTGATCGGTGATCTATCTGGAATGGTACGCGAGTGCCTCAAGCAATTGACATGCTCTTCCTTGCAGCGCCCGAAGAGTTTGCAGGAAATCGTTTTCCGTATCGGGCCCAAATGCCCCACTTCCTGCCGCACATCGTGCAGTCGCTCTACAAGGGCTTAGCAGTTGGGATCCTGGCACTGGAGACGACCAGCATTGACTTCCTCAACATCTCGGTGATGGGACAGATGTGCATGCACCTCCAGGTGCTCAGCTTGGCCTTCGAGAAGCTGCACGACAGCAGCGACGTCGACGCCTACAGCTGGCTGGTCGCCACAGTCAAATACCATTGCGAGTTGATTCTGTAAGCAGAGAGACGATCTCTATATTCACACATATTCACAGCTATATATTCTGAACAGTCTGCGCCAGCAAGTGGAGCGCATCTTCAATCTGGCTGTGATGCTGCAGTTCGTTAGCTCCGTTGTCATTGTGGCCATGACCGCCTTCCAGGTCATCGTCATCGGCGACGGCTCGAAGAGCTCCACGATAATGAACCTGATGCTCTGCTGCGTGCTCTGTCAACTGTTTATGTACTGCTACTTTGGCAACGAGGTGCACGAGCACGTGAGTCTAATCCACAGAAATAAACATATATTGTATAAAAATGCATATCTCTCTATCTCCTCATCTCTTTCTATACTTGGCCGTGCAGAGCAAATCCCTCTCCAGCGCTGCCTTTGGCTGCAATTGGTATTCACTCGACCGGAGGTGCAAGAGGACTTTGTTGGTGTTCATGATAAATGCGGATCGTCTATTCCTGTTTACGGCTGGCGGCTTCATGGGTCTCACCTTGCCCAGCTTCACTTATATCATAAGCAAGTCCTATTCCATTGTGGCTGTGCTCAGGCAAATGTACAGCAGGTCTTAGAAAAGCTAATGGAGAGGAAAGCAGTGGAGAGGGAGATGCTTTTCAAACCCTTTTATAATATAATCACATAATTATGGAGCCATTACAAATGTCATTAGCTAACCAAATTGAATATTCTATGCACGCAATAGGCTAAAGGTGTTAAGAGGTGTCATTACATCATTACATCATAGGCCTATTCCTTATAAGTATATAAATAGAAACGAAGAATATGATATGCTCGAGGAATATGAACAAGGAACTCGTTGGGTTTGGTTAATATATAATATATCGAAGCGTAGATTCAGCTTTTACTAATCATTCCGTACGAAGCTGTGTGCCATTCCATCGGGGCAGAGAGAACTAGGAATACATGCCCGAAGCGAAACAATAAGCATGAATTATAACATTCTGCTTATGTATTTCTATATGTATTTATATATACACTGTACATATGTGCTCTATGATTCAATTATTCTCATTTCGCAATTCAGTATGGAATTCGATGCCGACGGAGAGAAACGTTGCGCGCGCCAGTTAATCTGACGTCACTATTTTGGTAATATTTGTATGACGCGCAGACGACATACATACATATGCTAGCAACAGCTGAGCTACATATCTGCCATTATTTAGAATCTTCGGTTTATGTACCAAACGTAGTCCTGAAACAAAGGAAATGAGTTCATCTGAACAAATATCATAGAGTTAACCATATATTCGCACTTTTAAAGCACTCGCTCTAAGGAGGGAGCGGTGACGATACCGAAAGTTTGCAAATATTCAAATTAAATTTATACAAATTTCCAAACAGGGAAATATACCGGCAGAGCACGTATTCAGAATGCAGCTGGGTCTAGTGACGATGCTGGCGATCGCCGGGATAACAGCTGCCAAAATACCGGGATGCGATTACTTCGACACAGTGGATCTGTCGCAGAGCAAGCGGCTGCCGAATGGCTCGTACCAGTATGAGAAGCTGATCATACCGGCGAGTCTGGTTGGCGAATATGACTACGAGATACTGGAGACGGGCCACAAGGAGTCTGTGGCCAGGCATCTCAGGGGCTGTGCCTGCCACTTGGGCACCTGCATTCGGTTCTGTTGCCATCGGAATCTCTTCCTCGTGGACGGCGAACGCAAGTGCGACGGGGACATATCAAAAGCAATCGAATTCGATCCTATTATCAACATCACGCTGAACGATGGCACCCAGGTGAGAAGACACGTTTTACAGGACTTTATCATACAACAGGATCTGCCCGTCCCATGCGCCTCTCACGACCATTTGGATGCGGAAAACGACGAGAGTCATCAGTGGACCCTCTTAGAGGTTTGACAAACACTTAAATCGAAATATTTTGCTCGCTGTACTCATCCTTTTCCGCCCCATTTACAGAACGGAGTCCTGCGTCTTCAGTTCGATGATGCTGAGTTGTCTAAGCAAGAGTATTGCCTGCAGCCCCATAAGATCGGAAC